TTTGGTGTGGGGTTTGCCCGTAAGAAGCCGTCGGTCATCGGAATTGAAATCTCGTTGCCCGCTTCGAAAGGACGTTTTTTTTTTTTTTTAAAAATTTAGTTTTGAAAAAAGATGAAGTCAAACTGACCCCATAATTTTCATAGTTTAGATCTCAAGGCTTTCATGATTCTCTTAAGGTTGGGGATGATAACTCTTTTGTTAAGAAGCTTAGGAAAAAGAATGGCAAACTGGCTATGTTTATTTCTGATGTAGAATCCAACATTTTGGCTTCCTATTGCTACCTCGCTTTGGTTGGGAAGTTCTCTTACGGGAATCTAAAATTGGATATTATTAGGAAAGAATTTGTATTGATTAAATGGAAGGGTTGGTGGAAAATTTGTGTTTTGGATGGTAAACATAACCTTATACAACTTGCGAATGATGAAGATTATACTATGCTTTTTGCAAAAAAGTTTAGGAGAATTGATAATTGTGTATTGAAATTCTGGAAATGGTCTTTAATTTTGATCCAAAATTAGAACTGCCTTTTTTACCGGTATGGATTTGATTTCCTGGACTAAATTTGCACTTATTTAATCATGAAGTTTTATTTTCCCTTGCTGCCGCTTACGGGGAACCATTAAAAATGGATAGGGGTGCGTACTACCTTACTTGACCATCTAAGGCTCGAGTCCTTGTGGAAAGGGATATAACTCAGCACTTTTGTGATGAGAATTGGATTGGATCTCAACACCAGGGCTATTGGCAACCTATTGAAATTGAAAAGCTTTCTCCATATTGCACCCATTGCTCCATGTTTGGTCACCATGCCACTATTTTCTTTTGTCTCAACCCTCATCTCAAAGCAAACAACAGTTTGAACCCTCCTACTAGGAGTGATAATATTATGCCACCTAACCCTTCTGTCATAAATGATCCTGCAAAAGAACAAGTACAAATTAAAGGCACAACCATTGACCCTACTACAGTTATCCCCTTAAATGATTTGGAACAGGTGCATCTCGGACGTATGGGTAGTGATGAGGTTATTAATGAGACCATTAATGTAGATATTGATGAGGTTAATAATGTGCAATCCTCAGGTGTTGGGAATGATGACTATGTTGAATCAACTATTTATACTTACTCTGAAAAAGCTCCTTCTCAATTAGTATCCTATGGTAATATTTTAGCTACTTCTTCTAATGCTAATCTTGCTAAGGAAAACGTTGTTAACAGGATAGAGCAACATAATGAACATGGTCCTCTTTCGGTATCCAATGATGCTTTAAATGATCCTCTAATTAGATGGTAAGTGGCAAGTGCAAAAACATGCTAAAAGAAAGGCCAAAAGGAACAATGAACTATCAAGTTTGAATGTTTGGAACATTATTCTTGAAAAAACTTATTATTTGGAAGGAGAACAATTCGGCAACTTTTCTAGATATTCTAGAAGGGCTGGCTTAAGAAATAATGTTTAACATTATGGTATGGAATATTAGGGGAGTGGCGGACCCTTTCTCTTTGAATAGGCTTAAATATTTGTGTAGGGTCCACAAAATTTGTATTTTTGCCATTTTGGAGCCACTTGTCCATGTTAATAAGAGCAGGATTTTACATAGCTTTAAGGGTTTTCAATCATTTTGTAACAAGAACAACAAAATTTGGGTTTTTTGGAAGCGTCATATTACTCTTTCTATCATTGATGATGAGGAACAATTTGTTCTCAACCACTTCCAGACGGAGCAATTTCATGGTTGGGGCACCTTTGTTTATGCTAGTTCTCTTCTTCCTGACAAATTTCTTCTTTAGCAGAAACTTGAGATTTTGGGTGGTTCCATCACTGAAAATCTATTTGTTGGTGGTGACTTTAATATGATCATGAAACCTTCTGAGAAAAAAGGTGGTGGACGATGTGATATCTCTCTTCTTAATCGATTTTCTAACTCCATGGTTGGAGCTGGCTTATTTGATATGGGGCATTCTGTCTCTCCTTACACATGGAGGCAAGGTTTTCTCCAACAAAGGCTTGATCGATTCCTTGTGAACTCTATTTTTCTTACTTATTTCCCTATCTCCAAAGTTCAACATCTAAGCTATGCTTCCTCCGATCATAACCTAATTCTCCTTACCCTTGCTTTTATTGATAAACCTATTATTTCCAAATTTAAGTTTCTCAATATTTGGTCTACTCATGATACTTTCCTCAATACTCTATGACAGTTTTGGAACTATGATGGAGCTGGCTCATCCTGGTATATTCTATGGAAATGACATAAAAAATTTGCTGCTCATCCTCGGAAATGGAATCACCAAATTTTTGGCAACGTTCACACTAAAGTTTTGGAAGCTCAAAATACTGTTGACCTTTTGGAATCTCAGCTCATATGTGTCTCAGCTCATATGTACCCCGAATATGGTAAACACTACTGCTCTGGCTCACTTGACTCTTCTTGAAGCCATTAATATGGAGGAGGTTCTTCTTCAATAAAAAACTAACGACCTCCATTTCAAGGCTGGTGATCGAAACACTAATTGCTTCCACGCCTCCTTAAAACATAGAAGGAACATTAATTGCATTTTGAAAATTAAAAATGCAGAGGGTCAAATTTTAAATAATTTGGATGAGAGTGGGGATAATGTTGTTCTTTACTTTTCGGAGCTTTATCAGCATAGATCTATCATTAATCTTGTTGATGTTAATGTGTTTTGACTATATTAATAGTCTTTCTTTAGCCCAGGTTCCGGATGAAGGAGAAATTCTTTCTGCTTTCAAGTCCATAAGCTCCAATAAGTCACCTGGACCTGATGGCTTCTCCTCTACCTTTTATGTCAAGTGTTGGGATATCATTAAAAATAAGGTGGTTATGGCTATTCAAAGTTTCTTTTTGGGAGAGGATCTTGGTAATTATTTCAACTCTTCCTGTATTGTTCTTATTCCTAAAGGACATGATAAAATCACTTGGGATAACTTTTGCCCTATCGCTCTTACTACTGTTATCTCCAAAGTGTTGAGTAAGATCATTGTTACTGAGTAAGATCATTGTTACAAGGATCATTGTTACAAGACTACAACCCCATCTTGCTCATTTTATATCCCCTCAGCAATCAACATTTATAAAAGGTAGAGATATTACTGACAATATCTTGCTTGCTCAAGAATTTTTGAGGATCTTGATAAGCATTATAGAGCAGGTAACATGGTTTTTGAACTTGATATTTAAAAAGCTTTTGATACCGTCAGTTGGGATTTCATTCTTAACATTCTTCATGTAAACGATTTCAAATAGGATTTCTATTCCCTTATCAAAAGATGGTTAGCTAACAATCACTACAGTGTTCTCGCCAATGGCAAAGCTCATCGTTTCTTCTCGGCTTCTAGAGGCATTCAACAATGAGATACTCTCTCCCCTACTATTTTTATTATTGCTTTTGACTATCTCTCAAGTCTTATAAATAGGCTGCATTGAACACATCCTCATTTCCAATACTCTCATATATCAAAATTTCTTATTAGTCACCTTGCTTATGTGGATGATATCATTTTATTTTATAATGAGTGTAAACCTACTATTAAAGCAATGATGACACTGTTTAAAGAGTTTCAAGATGCCTCTAGCCTTCTTTTTAATTTGGCTAAATGCACTAATTATTTTGGCAACAAGGTGAATAGTAACATTGAAAATTGGTCCTCTAATTACACCGGGTGTAAGGTTTCAAAGCTCCCTATAAAATACCTTGGGGTTAATCTACTCAGGGGAAGGAAAAAACAAACTCGGATGGATGATGTTGTGGATAATATTAAATTGAAAATCAATGATTGGAGAAATACTTTCTTGTCTAATGGTGGAAGGCTTACTCTTCTTAAAAGTGTTTTATGCAGCATTCCCATATACTCTATGCAGGTGCTGAAAATTAAGAAGTCTACCCAATCTACTCTTGAAGTTCTATTTAATAAATTACTTTGGCGGGGGAATAGATCTTCTAAGATTTGGGCTAAATGGAAGAAGGTTTGTAAGCCTACTACCTCTGGGGGGCTTGGGTTTAAAAACCTTAAGGGAATTATTGATATAAACATGTGTAAGCTTTGATACAAATTCAGATCTCAAGATTCTTTATGGGCTCAATTTGTCCATCATAAATATTGCATGGATACTCATCCTTCCATTGTGTCCTGGAATATAAGAGACTCTAAAATTTGGAAAGCTATCACTCTTGCTCGTGAGGTGGCTTCTCATTTCATTTTTCGGGATGTGGGAGAGGGGAAATTTTCATTCTGGAATGATCATTTGCGTTCTAATCCTTTGTCGAGATTGCCTCATGCTACTAATGATGATGATCTTCTTGTTAGGGATTTTGGATTGATGGCGACTGGAACATACCCAAACTATGGTCTCTAATTGGTGAAAAAGCTTTCTTAGTTGCAATTATTCCACTTAAAACTAAATCTAGAGATGTTCCTATGTGGAAATCCTATGCTACTGTTTCTACTACTAAGATGCTTTACACTAATTTATACACTTACCCTCAGTGGATTTGGAGTAAGTATAGTTGGCACCATTTTATCTCTCCCTCTAGCTTATTCTTCATTTGGAGATTATTCCATAATCTACTTCCCCTTAATGATATTTTGAAGATGAAAGGTTTGAAAATTGCATCGTTTTGCTATATTTACAAGAAGGAAGCTGAATCCCCCATTCATTTATTTTATGAATGTGATTTTGCTAGAGAAGTATGGCATCATTTTGGGAACTATTTTGGTATAAGATGTCCTATTAATTTCCATCTGAAAAGCATTCTTCAATCCTGGAAAAATTTTGAAAATATCATACAAAGCTCTTCTACTTTCTGATGATTATTCTTTGGTTTATTTGGGTGGGAAGAAATAGCCATAAATATGAGGACTCTCCTCATACGCCTTATAATCTGCTTGTACTCATTGTGGCTAACTTTCTTAAAGCCTCTAAAGCTATGGGAAGTGCCGATATTACTCCTCAACACCAGGAAACAATTGGAGGCCAATGTTGATTAATTGGACTCTGCCTTCTCATGGTTGGATAAAAGTTAATATTGATGGCAACTTAAATTGTACCAACACTGGGATTGGAGGCTTGTTCAAGGATGTCAATGGGAAATGCATTGTTTTCCTTGCTTCCCCTTGTGTTGCTTCTTCTCCTCTTGAAACAGAAACAAGGGCTGCTTTGGGTGCTTTACAAATTACAATTTCATATGGACTTTCTCACATTATTCTTGAAACGGATTCTTTAGTTTTATTTCAAATCTTAATGGGCTTTCTTAAGCCTGATTGGAATATTACTATCTTACTCAACCGCATTAAAGATATGGTCATTAAATTTCATTTTCAAATTCAATATGCACTCATTAATCGTGAGGCGAATAGGCCTGCGGATTGGTTAGCTAAGAAGGGGCATCTTGGTATCATTATAGGAGAAAATCCTACTTGCCCTCTTTATAATCTCACTCTTGGTGATGTTTTGGATGCACCTTATATGTGAATTTAAATTTTATCTCAACAACCTTTGGCTGGAGGCTACGGGATGTTGGTACAATGCTATTATCAAATGTTTTCTTTCTTTCACTTTCACTTTGGAGCAGTGCTTTTATTACAAAGACAGGCAGAAGATTCTCCTACATGACTACTCTGAACTTTTGGAGGCCAATGGCTCAATTTCGTTGGTGGCATGATGTGGTTTTTGAGAATCTGGGGTTCTTTATGCTGAGCATTATAATTGTGTTTGGAGGCCCATGGCTCCGTTTGTTGGTTTTGGATAATCAATCTATTAAGTTTCAAATGTTTCTTTCTTCATCTTGCGGTTCCTACTTAGGAAGACTCTACCATTTTGTTCATTTCTATGTAGGCATGGATTAAGTTTTCTTTTAAATGCCTGTGGCTCCAATTGACTCCAATTTCTTGGAGACACGTTTTACGCTCTCATTTGGAAACTGGCGACTTTACTATTTTAAGTTGTACCTTTGTTTTTGGAGGCCCATGGCTCCAGCTTCTGGTGTGGGATTGGTAGTGGATTATGTTTCATTTGTTGATTTTATCTCACTGTCTGGACTGCTTACACACTGAGGTGACTTGGCTGAAATTTATGTGTTTAGAGCTTATGTTTGGAGCAATTTGTTATATTACAGGGATGGTGTTTCGAGCTGTGTTCTCTAAGCTTCACTTATCTATATATTTTGGATACATTTTTTATAATTCCAATGAGGAAATTGTTATAAGTCCAATGAGGAAATTTTTTATAAGTCCAATGAGGAAATTGCCGGTTGCCTGTGGAATAGATTACTTCTCTACTCTATGAGTTTAGTCTTAACTCATATGATATCCACTTTATCTCAAGTAGGAACCTTGGGGTTTTTACTGTCCTCTATGTGCTGCTGCCTTATCTTCTCACGGTCTTTTTTTGTAAAGCTAATTCTAGTTTCTTTACTGCTCTTAGCTGAACGTTTTTTGGGAAGCATTGATGCTTTAAAGCCCTAGAACTTACTTTGGTGGCCCATGGCACCTAATATTAAACACAGATTTGGCTTTTCCTTCATATAGTTTATTACAATTTTAATCTGCCACCATTTTGTTTCTGACTTTCAATACAGGTCCTGCTTTTTGCATTTTGCGGAGATTAAGTTTCTAATTGGACGGCTCATGCTTCTCCTTTGACATTTTTTTGTCTTTGCAACTCTCAAGCTTGATTTTGCTACATGTTACTGCAAGGTATGCGAATTCTATTTGGTATACTTTTGTCTTGGATACATGTAATTTTGGAGTTTTTTCTTGTTTATCTCTCTCTTTATTGCGTGAAGTTGTAATGCGGGAAAAGGAACCCCTAGGACGATATGTTTTTCATTTCTTTTTAATGGGGATCCTTTTTCCCTCCTTTTTTGTAACCTCCTTTTTTATTAACGCGTAAGGAGCCACGAGATGCTCTT